GTTCCGTTCATGGCTGTGGTTGGTGACACATACAGTACATGTAAAAAGTTGCTTGTTTCTCCTTCTGTCTTGTTGTATCTGCGGTTTCCCGCCAGCTGACACAATATCATAAAACAACAACCGGTAAGAAAGGAACCCATAGTTTTTTAATAAATTAATGTTTATAATGTCCGTAAATATAATAACAATCCCAGGTATTTCTCTGAAATTTACAAATGTGTGTACGTTGATAGTTTCTTCAATTATTTATCATTAATTAGTTGAAGATAGATTATGCACGAATGAATGCATTTGGATAAGTTTAAGAAAAATATATATTTTTTAACAAATTTCAAAAGTATCTTTTTATTAATATTTTTGTCTTTTAAAATACTTAATTATGATATATTATAAAATTAAATCGAAAATCTCAAGCCACATACACGACAAAGAGATTGAGTACTCTCTCTGTGTGCGTGTGTCAGAACGTCCCATCAGACGTCTATCCATCCGTTTTGGCTGTTTTTGGAGCATCACATGATGAACTCCATCTACCACTAATGCCCGTAACTTCCCCCCCAAACTTTTTTCTTTTTTATTTACCCTTTTCGTTTTACGTATCTTTTCTTATTAATCTTAAATTTAATTTCCTAAACAGTAAAAGCATGTGAATCTTCACTGAAATTAAATAGTCATTTTGGGGAAATGTTTTCAACTCAAATTATGGCTTATACTTAGCCTTATTACTTTTTTGGTAGAATAAAACTCGTTGATGCCCAAGGTAACATTCTTCTTCAGCATCGGATTTCCCTAACACGGAACTGGCACAAAGCAGCTTCATTTTTTAATGGATTAGTTACTTTGGATCTTGTCAAAGGATTAGGACAAAGCCCCCTAGTCGTGTAGTACTGATTATCGTGGATAGTTGAATGCTTTATTCTTTTAACTTACTTTGCTAAGTCCCTCTGACTCAGTGACAAGATAGAAAGTTAAAATGCTTGGCTATTTTAATTTGTTTGCGATTTGCAAAGCGACAATGGATGCAGTTAATGACACGAGCCCTTGAGGGGATAACAATTATCTTAGCAAAAGACCCTTTTGACTGAATAATATCTTCCACCTTGAGGCGTCCAAAATACATTATCTGGCCTATAACACATATTGAAAGTAAAAATATTTGGAAAGAGAATAAAATCATAATTAAAGCTATATATGGGGATGATTGATGGCTATTTGATCCAAGGGCAGGGGTGGTTCAAGACTTGGTGTTAACAGAGCAAGTAGTCATGGTGCCCCTTTCTGCATCAATTATTGGGGGCCGTTCCCAGATTTTGATGTGATTAGACTGCCCATCACCTCCCATTTCCAAAACAGTTCTTTTCTTTCTTCTTTTCTTATTAACACAATTAGGAAATTGGATAATTGAAGGCACTAGAAAGTCCAGACAAAAATGGTGAAGTCAGAAACCGCTTAAAGTAGACAAATAATTTTTCGGGGGAAATCTGCATGTCCTTGTTTTGGGTTGCTATATTATTATATGTAATTGCTGTATTAATGTATATATAAAGTATATATGTAAGTCATCAATCTAATTTATATTCTCTTCCTAATTACAAATATGGTCACACAGTAAAAACAAAATACCTGCTCTTTTTACGTTTTTATGCATACAATTGTATGTTTTATCTAGGAACGTAGAAAATAAATATCAGTATTCGTTTGTTGGCACCGTAAAAATTGAATTTCGTAGCGGTTAATTTTTATTCCTCTTCTTGACTGGGAATGTGGTTAAATTGGAAGAAATGTGTGTCAAGGCAGCAGCAGCGGCTTCGAGCCTGTTATGGTTCCAATTCACAATAGTTACAGGTTAAATTATACGCGTGGTAAACTAAAGATTTTAACTAGATATGAAAAACAATTGGAAAAAATAATAAGAGGAAAATAAAATTAACTTGTTTCAGTAAAGATTAAAGTATCTGATAGCGAGGTTTAATATTTAGTTCATTAATATGTTAAATGAAGATTAATAATAAAAAACCGAATCAAGCTGATAAAATAGAAACAATTCTTTTTATTACACGATATGATTAGGTTTATGATGTATGATGGAATTGAGAGCTTATCATTAGCTCAACAGTTGTACTTCTTAGTTGCAGAGTAAACTCAAGATTTTTAAACAAATATTAGGGTTTAATTTGGCTCTAACCATGTTTAGGTTTTGTTGAAGGTAGAGTGTTGATTCATAATCAACAGTCTCTCTCCCGATTTTTGTCTCCGACTATTTGTCTTTCCAACAATCAAAATTGTAACCTTCCTTTAATATATGTGGGGGACAAAACTACATCTTAGGCATCAAATTTAATCAAATAACATTTTCATTAATTTTTTTATTAACATAACTATTAAATTTAAAAAAAATTACATTAAAAATATAAATTTTATATTGTTTTAAAATTTATTAATACACTATTGTATTTTTTTTTAGTGGACGATATATCATTTAAAATTAAATTAGTTACTATTAAATTACATGAATTATATAAAACTATGTATCCAATATTTTACAACAATGTTACAAGAATTAATAACTAAAAAATAATAATATTTAATAATATAAATTTATTATTAAATTTAACATTTGATATTATATATATAGAGTTTACTACTAAATATTTATTTAGTTTTTAAAAATAATATTTTAATAAATTATAATTATCATTTTAAAAAATATTTGAAAGTGTAGTTTGTTGACATATTTCATTAAAAAAATAGTTGCATAGTTGCTACTATACATATACTTATTTATTAGAAAAAGTATGTTAACAAGTTATAATTATTTTTTAAAGACACTTAAGAATTGATATATTAACATAAATTCAATGTATTAATAATTATTTGATATTATAAATTATATGTAATTATTTTGTTAAAAATTAGAAATATATCTTTTACTTCCTTCCTTTCAAAAAAATTCCTTCCAAACATACCCACAAGATATATTTTGCTAAAATGCTCAATCAAACTCCGTTATACGTATATATACTCTAAACTTATTCCATAGTTAGTATTTTTATAAGCAAAAGATTGAGAAATGAAAATAGTGATATAGTTTATTCAATGTATAGGCTTATAGTGTTCCTTGTATATAAAATGATATTGAATTGAACTGCGAATTATTATCGACAACAAATTATTTGTAACTTGTACTGTTTTATTTGCAAAACTTAAAACTTGATAGAACATAATTTGTCTAATTAAAATTGTAGAATAATAAAATGAAGAGGAACAATGAAAAATCCTTTTATTGTAGTGTATGTAGAAGACGAGAAACAACATGCCGGCTTTATAAGTTTGAGTAAGCTTGGGTGGTCTTTTCCAGAGATTGAGAAAGACAAACGGCTTCTTATTAAGGCTTTCTCTGGATTGTGATATGCCTCCTTTGCATTCTTATCCAGTTTCACACGCCAGTCAAGGGGGTGTCTTTAGTTGGTGGAGAGATGCTGACCCCATAACATCGTTCCCCTTTAAACTTGAGTCCTTTTAGTTCCAGCATCTCAAAATGCGACTTCGTTGTTTATCAAGATGCCCAAAGTCCATCCAATCTCACTATTCATTTCACCTCAAACTTTAACTAATACTCTTAAGCCCTCGTTATTATCAAGTTTAATTTTTACACACCCAAATAACCTCATATTTATATAGCATCCTTTACTATTTTTTTATTATATTTATTATTTCTCTCTTATGTTGTGCTATTTATAAGGTGCAGTCCGTAGAGCACCAACTATTTTTCGGTTAGTAACAGTAAATGTTTTAAATTAATTTCGCCAAGTGAATAAGTGCATGTTGACGCCAAAAGCTCGTCACCAATGTCGGAGAAGACCGCACGTAGCAACAGCAGACTTTATGCCGACAATTTACGTTTTTATTTCCTATGTAATAATTATTAATTCCCATGTCACTTTCTTCCTCATCTACGCTCTAGACTCATACCACTGCTATCGTATCCGTCTCTTGAATTCTGTTTCGGTTCTCAGGGAAGAATGTTTTTTGAACACCATATTCAAAATACTTTAAGGTATTATTTTATTTTGAAATCTATTTAAAAAATATATTTATACAAGTAAATAAATAATCAAAATATTTATTATGTACTATAATATTGCGATATTAACTTTTAATAATTCAGGTGATAAAATGGTTCTAAAATTACACTCCCAAGAGCATACTACAACTACAACATTATCACCACGCACTCACCCTGGCCCCGCCCCTACTTGATCCCTCCTATGTGGGAACAAACTGAAAATCTCTTCTAATTCTGCTCCATTAGTCACACGCGCCGCCCACGCGCCTCCCAGAACGGGCCCCATCCTACGTCAGTTTGTTTCAGGTACGGGAATGCGTGCCCTCTGGAACACCTTAAAATTAACTCGTAGGGTTTCTGTTTCAGTGTTTGTCATTGGCGTTTGGGTGAAGCGCGTAGCATATTTTTGTTCTGTCTTCACTCTTCAATGCTTGACTTATCTTTAAACCATTTTTAAAATGTATTCAAATATATGTAAAAAATAATAAACAATAGCTATTTTATTAAAATTTGTATTATCTAAAATTATAAATGTATTAAATTTAACATAGATACGAAAAAAATAAAATTAATCTGTAAATTATAAGAACTTAATATTTTATCTTTTTTTCGTTACCTTCATATCACGGTTAACATAACCCATAAAAAAATATATATACTTCCATTTGAAAACGGTTCTTATTTTCCTTTTTGTGATTCGTCCTCGGCTCATGCCGGTGCTGCTCTGAGGACAGAGTACTACTGTCACCGAGAGTGAAAACTTTTCGCGGTTAAATTTCCGTATTCATCCGGGAGAGGTAAAATTACAGAGTGACCGGACATAGCCGGTGGAAGGTGATGATGTAGACAAATAGAGAGAGAGAAAGAGAGAGTTGTATATGCTCTAAATTGTCGTGGCCTCAGAAAACAGAGAACCGCAAAAGTATATCAACGAATACCTTTGGACAAAGAAAGAACCAAAACAAAGAGAGAGTAAGAACCCCTTCTTTTTCTTCTTCTTCTTCTCTTCTTTGTTCAAATTTCAAATTACCCAACACAAGACTTATAGTATTGATTACAACTTCACAATTGTTGTGGAATGGAATTCGAGGAAGATCAAGAGGAGCAAGAGGAAGAGCTGTGTGTGGGAGGAGCGAGTTACGACTCGCTGCCCAACACCCGGATGAAGATGCCGGGTGGGGCAGAAGCAATCATGCTGGCTCAGCCCGTGAGGAATAACACTGGTTCCGTCAAGGCAAGGTACAGGGAGTGCCTCAAGAATCACGCCGTCGGCATCGGAGGCCACGCCCTCGACGGTTGCGGCGAGTTCATCGCGGCGGGAACAGAAGGCACGCTCGACGCTCTCAAATGCGCAGCCTGCAACTGCCACCGCAATTTCCATCGCAAGGAGACCGACGCCCCCACGCTCGCCGGAGACCCATTCTTGCTCACGCACCATCCGCACCCCCACGCTCCGCCGCCGCCGCCGCAGTTCGCGGCGTATTACCGAATGCCGTCGGGTTACCTGCACGTGGGGGGACAGCAGAGGGGGGCGCTGGCGCTGCCGTCGACGTCCGGCGGCTGCGGCGGCGGAGGGACCCAGAGCACGAGGGAGGAGCAGGAGGATGTTTCGAACCCGAGTGCAGGAGGTGGAGGGTCGAAGAAGAGGTTCAGAACGAAGTTCACGCCGGAGCAAAAGGACAAGATGCTAGAGTTCGCGGAGAGGTTGGGGTGGAGGATTCAGAAGCACGACGAATCTGTTGTCCAAGAGTTCTGTAACGAAACTGGGGTTAAGCGTCAAGTTCTCAAGGTTTGGATGCATAACAACAAACACACTCTTGGTAAGAAGCCCTAGCAAATTAAACCAACTAAAACCCCAGATAAAATAAACCAAAAAAATTGATAATTTTTTCATCTGGGGTGTGCTTCCTTCTCTCTCTCACTACGCTGCATCAATGGTGAACTTTTGGCTCTTTCTCTCTTCATTTCTGAGCCGGGAGTAATGTATATTGGTTAAGTATTATGGCGTTGGACGGTGGGGAACTTGCGTTGCTGATATTGTAAAAGCCTAGTACTATAGTTCAGCGAAATGATTTTAGGGTTTCTTTCTATTTTTATATTCTTCTCATTTGAGAAAAAGGTTTGGCTGTGTTAGTGTTTGAGCATGTAGGCAAGGTTTTACCTCAATTAGAGCATAATATTATTGTTGGTGAAGTAATTTTTGTTTTATTTTTATTTCAGTGTCAAAATCAGTTTTTGTTTTTTTATGCCACATGTGCTAGTATTAGCAAATGTTGTCGTGGTAGGTGTTGTGGTAACGGTGGCGATGCGTTTGGAATCTCTTTTTGCGTGGACGATATCAGCTGTACAGAGAGATGATGAAGATTTTGTTTGGAGTTTGAAACTGGATGACGATGAGGCTAAACCTCTAGTTTGTTTGTCTAAATACTGATACTCTATCCTAAGACAGTTGTAGGAAGCAGGAACTTTCTCGGAAGCATCAATGCGTTCTCACCTGCATTTCCGTTTTTCATGTCTTTCTACACGTCTTTGCTTGTCTCTGCCTCTTTCACTTCTTCTTTGGCCAACGGCAAAGCTTTTTGGCCCCTCCCTCGCACTGAAAAAAGTGAGAAACATCTTCGTCCTAGTGTCTGATTTCACCATCATCATCATGCATTTTCAATTTTTTCGGATTCCTATTTGTTTTTTCTTTCTCCTTTATTCTCACTAGCTTTGGTGATTTCCCTTTGTATAGTATTCGACGTATTTTAATTTATACAAAGCAAAAATATAGTTTTAGATATATGTTAGATTTCCCTTTGTAATTAAACTTTAGAGTACATAGGGCATTAATCGCATACATAAGAATTTCTTTGTTCATTATTATCACAAATGAGAAATCACCAACGCTTTGTTAAGTTGGTATATTCAATTCATTGTGGAGAAGGCCGGAACCAGATATTTGTCTGTATCAATCAATAACATTTTCTTAAGTTGGATCTTTCTTCTTCATCGTGACCTGGGTCTGGGCGAGGAAAGGGACTGTTCTAATTTATTTTATTTTATTGCATGGCATGCGAGTTATATGAAATTTGAGAAGTACTTGTCTATGTTTTCTTTAGCGTCGGGGTACAAAAGTTTTCAGACTCAAATCTAGAGGTGGGGTAAATTCATGTTGGAGAAATAATTCAAGTTTTATAGATCCACGCTTCGCATTTTTCGCCCCATTTTTCGTTTTTTTTTTTTTCACTGTTGTTCACTTTGAAAATAATTTTTCCATTGTTTGACCAACTCTCTCTTTCTAGTAAGTTAACAAACAAGCTATATGATCTTTCAGAAGAATTAATATAGTACAATACGGACACAACTTTTATTTATATATTTTTTCTGCGGCTCTCCAACTACTACCATCAATTGGGTTTTTAGAGGCATGGGGGGAGAATCTATTAGGATCCCTAGAAAATGTGTTACGCCCATTCCCTTATTCACAATCAAGGTTGAACTTGTTGACTTATTGCACTTAAACTCTAAGAAGGTGGAGTACCTAAAAAAGTTTTAAAATATATATACTAGCTAGTTAATGAATGTAACTGGCATGTTGCTAGCTTTATGGCTCAGCTTTAATATGCATGCCAAAGGGGGGACCTGGTTGATTACTTGGGGAAGGATGGAGAACCGTGCTACTTTGTAACCTTTCCTAATTCCACTCTAGGAGTTCTGATGTTTCAATTATAGTAGCAGGATATGCTTTTATGGACAGCTTGCTTCTTAAGTAGTCCAAAGCCTGTGTATTACCAATACACGTTTAAGATGCTTTGCTTGTTTTGGGGGGTCTCCAGCATCAGTTAAAGCTGCGTGCATCATCTGTGGTCCACACAATATAATCGAATCCTTTGGTGCAAGTTTTGGTTGATCAGTCAGATACAAAGGCCTACATACCCGTATCCCTCCTACAAACATGTTCATGACTTAACGGGCATTGTCTATAATGCTCCTTACCATCATTCAATTGCAAAAAAAATATTAAAACATGATTTCTCACTCCAGATCTCTAACAAAATCCATCAATTGCGATAACTCAGCATTCTTGCTAAAGAACACTCAGTAAAGACCATTTATTTTAATATTGTAAAGTACCTTCAATTCATGTACTTGTGTTCTCCATATCAATTATTGCGTTACTTAAGTGATGTTCAATTTCTAAGTACCCGCTTGATTTAAGGTTAAATAAAATTAGTTTATGATAAAAATGTGCATTTTACATTAAAAGTTTGAAATTGATTTTCTCAAAAAATAAAAATAAAAATCTTAAGCAGTCTTGGTGCAATTATTCTTTTTGATGTGAAAACATGGTGATCGTGTTCTTAAGCAAGCTGTGAATCTGCAGTTTCTTTCAAACAGCCAGTTGGATGACAGTGAGATTAATATGGGCAAGGATGGAAAATAAATTTAAATAAATAACTTAACGACAAATCTTGTTTAAAGATCTGGAACAATATCACGTATGGGTTTGATCTCCATGATCACGCAATCAAGCAGGCAGAATAATTACATAAAAAAAATGTAGTGGAATAAATGTGCGTTTAAAAATATTTGTAAATGTAATTTACGACGAAAGTTATAATTATTAGCGATGAAGTAAACATAAATTCTAACATAAAATTAAACACTCTAACATTGGTTATATTTGATAAGCTGAACTCTAGTAAATACCACTGGACACGCGGAATTAAAATGACGAAACCTAGGAGAATTATTTACAAGGTCATCAAAAATTAAAAATAGGTTAAATATTTTTAAGGGCCTTTCAGGCAATAAGCTTAGTAATAATAAAGCAATCTTAATGTTAAACTTGGAAGAAGAATTTGTAAACATAAGTTTGATGCAATTTCTATATTAGGACGAAAAAGGATGGTAATAAAATATTGCAAACAAATTCAGTTTCTCTTCGTGCTTGTGCAAAGACGGATTTGTTAAATTACTTTTGGTTGAAAAAGATCACTAAGATAACATTATACATTATTATCATTATTATTACATTTCAATTCGCATTTGTATGTCTTTCTTTACCTATTAAGGTTAAGTGTACAAATGATGTGAAGATTTCATGCGTATATACCGTTGTTCTGTAGAACTAGAGCATAGCAAAATAAGCAACATGAAAGTTCACTGTTTAAAAGCATATTATTTTAAATGAAATAGATTATTCAAAACCTGAAAGGCATCTACGTCCTTTAATACAATTGTTTTCTATTATGATGATTTGTGAATATAATCTAAATGAACTCTTTTAGTTAATTAGACCTTTTTCTTTTCTTTCTCGGTAGATAGTTACACTAGTATGATAGTGATTATGATTCTGTATAGTAAACAAATTGATAAGTTACTTAAAAGTTAAAAAAAAATTAATAGTTATTAAACTAACATATTATATCAAAAGTACTTGATATTAACTATTAAAATAACTAACAGATATAAAATAACACAAAAGTATTCATTTGCATGAATTTTGTATAAATTATATTTTTATATTTGTTCCTCTTTCTTTTTTTTTCAACTCAAACCTGTGTTGGAGAAGAAAACATACCGGAACTTCCATTCACGAAAACCTATGTTTAAAGAAAGCTAAACAAACAGGTCAGAAGATGACAACTTAGGTTATTTCCCATAATTACATAACTGAAAAGTCAATTGTTATAATTATACAAAATCAGATCGAAACGAATGCCAGCCAAAAGTATTAAGTATTTTTCCGCCCCCTCTTATATGTAGATTTGGTCTCTTTTTTCAGCAATAAATAAGTTAACAAGGAAAATTAATTACGAGGAAAATAAAAGCTGGAAAAACTGCAGATATATGGTTGCTGATGAGAGTCAACTCAAAGGCACGACAGATGACATATAAATAGTTATTTTTTATAAAATTAATGTCTAGAAAAAAAAACACATAAGAGAATAAACACTTACGAAGTACCGAAATTTTGCTGGAAAGGTGGAGAAGTAAGAAGAGGAGGGACCGCATATAGATTCGTTTGGATTGCAAACTTTTTCGAAAGCAAAATTTGATGATTCGAAAGGGAAAAGGAGAAAGTTTCCAAGGAACTTGGCTTTGTGACCTTACCTTGTGTCCCTTATGGAGAATCCCTGGCTTACCAACTAGAGGAAGCTGACCTTCAAATTTGCCGTCCCTACTGGTTTCCAATATCCAAACAATGAAATTTAGCTTTCACAATGATTCCAAGAGCAATGTTTGGGGTGCCCAATGCCCCACAATGTCATAAATTAACCTCCTTTTTATTTTCTTTATAAATTGAATGCTTGGTTTTAATCAGAGTCCAAAGTTTCCATATACTACTTCCTGACATTTGCATATGGCTGAGGTTGGTGGGCTCTTGGGCTTTCTTGGCAGTATCACGGGCCAAGAAAGAGCATAGGCATGGCTTTTGGTAGACAATGAGTTTCACGGTGTGGTCAAGCCTCCTTTAGGAGGTTTCTTGTCTCAGTCCATATTAAAATCATCATATGGACCCCTTCCACTGCATTCTGTCCTACAAACCATAAAGATATAAAATATCGCACTATTCTTGGAAGACATTTCAAATGTTTTGTATTAATTAAGAATATGATTATAATACTCTTTATAAGGTTTCATCAATCTTTGTTTGACCAATTAACATTTATTGGACTGAGTGAAACTTAATTTTTCAATAATAACATAAATCTCTATACCGTAGAGCATTATATTTGTTTCACTTAAAACAAGAAATTTAGTTTCAACTTTTCGTAAAGAAAAAAAGTATGTTAGAAGATTAATCTTGTCATTATGTTAATATTCTTTACTTGTACACATAATTTATTTACGGAGAATATACGTGTTTTCGATTAAAAAAATATTGATAATTTTTTAAAAAGATTATATGATTAAATCTAAATAATGATTAAAATTGAAACATAAAAAGTTATATAAATTTTTTAATTTGTCATGCAATATTTAAGAAAATAGGTTAGATAATTTATTAAGGGCAAAATTTAAGTATAATTTGTTAGATATTTTTAGTAGTAGTTTTGAATCAAAATAGGATATTTTACTTTTGATAATTTATAATATTAAATACTTTTTTTACTAAATAAAACTACAATTTTAATAAAAAATAATACCAAAAATGTATATAAAATTTGTATATAATTTTTATCCTTTTATCAAAGTGTATTTACTTTATTCACTATAATAACTTTATTTCATGAGACGTTATGCCATTCAAAAAGTCTTTCTGTATGTAACTGTTAGCGTTATTTGATTAAATAAAAATAATTATTATATTAAAATTTTGATTAATATTTTTAAATTATATATTTATTCATATATTTAAAAAATTATTATAAATAAAGCTTCTAAACAAGTTTTTAGGTAATGGAATTAAAAAAAAAAAGACTAAGTGAGATCTTAAAAAAGCTTTATATTAATTAAACAAATTATATTCAATTGTATAATTTGACAAATGAGACATTTGTTTAGAGAGAAATTTAATGTGATCTAACTCATTTTTATCTCTATCGTTCATTAAATTGGATCTATTTTAATTGTGCAATTGAGTGAAGGTTAAGCTAAAAGCGGAAAATTTTAAATAAGAAATTATATTTGTATAATAAAAAGAAAAAAATATAAAAAATATAAAAAATAAGATAATTAATATAATAGAGATAGATTAAAAAATAAACTATAAAATTACATTATATGAATAATTCAACTCAATACAAATTAAATTAAGTGAAACAAATTACATCCTCTCGAGTTGATACTTTATTTCTTTACAAACACTTTCACGCTTTCAATCCACTCTCTCCATCATTTATTAAAATCAACCCAAACTATACCATTATTTATACAAGCCAATCAAAAATTAAATTTTCAGAAATCAAAGCAAGACCTTCAAACCTTCCACCCCAATTGAAGTAGCTTCTTATCCGCACTTGCATTCTGTTTTACTAACCCGTGGGAACCTGCATTCTTCCCCCTCCCACCATGCATTTTACAATTGGAGAAAACATTAGTGCCAATGCTTACCTTTCTATCTTTGTGCCTTGGACTATCACATGATCTTCTAACACAAACAGGACTTGAACCTGCTCGAAGTGTCTTTACCCAATCAACCTTCTTCACTTCTTTCACGTTTTGTTGTTTATATTTCCTAGGACAAGGACGATCCTTTTCAGCCGCTTCTTTGTTAACCTCTTTAATTTCAATTTTAGTTCCTCCTTCCATTTTAATCCTTATGTTCACTTCACAAAGTGCTCTAGTTCGGTTATTAACTAGTTGATTAATGCCACGTTCACATGCTTCCTTTGCAGTTCTATCCTTCCTTTGTTGGTAAATCCGGTGCAACCGAAGAGCAAGATGGTATATACCTTCCTTGATCTCTTCTTCTAAATCACTTTCGATCTTCATTCCTAGCTCACCTCGTATCTTCAACTCCTCTGCTGAAACGGGAACTCCTAGGATGTTACTATTATTTTTCACCTGTTGGCACTCTCTTGTGTGGTTTTCAGTTTTCACCTGCATTCAGTTTCAATCATAGCATAATCATACATACCATGCTACATCTATATGTTCCGTTTAATTCAACTGAGTAAATTTAGAAACTAGAAAGAAACCTTTTTTGTGTCCAGCGTTGAACTAAGCCAATTGCCGCTGTCAAAGTCAAAATCTTGGTAATTCTCTAATAAATCTGCAAAAATGAAACCCAGTAGTGAACAAAACTTTAAGAAATGAAGAAAAAAAAAACTTTAATTGATTAGAATAAATTCTAATCACTGAACTGAACCTTGAATTTCTGCCTTGGTGTACTCTCCTTCGTGACCCATTTTATATAATTGGTGCGTGAACTTTGGGTAGCAGCATCAAATGTTCAGAATTTATATACCAGCAATGTGATTAGGACACCACTGAGATGGGACCTGTGACAATTTGTAAGGAATAGGACACACATGAAGTGCTTAGTGAAAATGTGGAAGTAAGAGACGTTATTTCAGTTGGCTTATACAAATTTAGGCGCCAAATAGCTCTAACTGTTTTAGTGTGTGATTTGGGCGTGCATGAACAATGACGAAGAGAGACAAATTCTGCTTTACGTGGAAGGAATAAGGCTAGTTGGGTTGCCCTTAAAGCACAATCAATAATACTCACATGTTTGATGTATCTTCATTGATGTGTGCACCTTTCCATCGGGGTTTTAAGGTTAGTTGAAAGGAACCTATTCAGCTTTTCACTGTGACAGGTTTGATTAATATCTGCCACTTCCTTGCAAATTAAAATCCTTTTTTTACCATTCCTGGAAAACTAATTTATTAAGACTATGTACATCTAAAATAACCAAAACTTTGTTGTGAAGGTAAATATTTATTTAATACATTCATGTAACGTTAATGGTTATGTGATTTGGTTCGGTGTCCCTTTCTAAATCAAATTTAGTTATTAAAAAGAAATTGTCTGTAGTGTTTTTACCTTTGAAAACCTTACCATGTCAAAAAAAAAATTATTTGATAAGTGGTCTAATGGATATGTAAGATAATATTTAATGGTCTAATGGATATGTAAGATAATACAGTTACATCTAATAGGATTATTTTATTCGATTATTTGATTTTATCTTATTTTCTGCTCTTGATCAATGATTAATCAAAAGATTTGATAATTTAAAACACGTTTTTATTAACTTTAATTAATGGGGCCTATAACAAATTAAAGTAAGTTCTTTCTTATAAAAAATATATTTTTTCCCGTATCATATTACTTATCAATATGAGAGTATTTAAATTCCAAAAATATAAACAAAAGAGAGAGAAAATAGGATAAAAGTTTATCTTTTTCCAAAAAAAAAAAACAAACTTTAAGATGTGAAATTAACAAGAGCAACAAAAATTCATGACAAAATTGGCTTGCAACAAAAAATACTTGCCATTAGCATGATTAGAGAGAGGCATAGACAAGCCAAAAGTGTTGCATGAGAGGTGGGAGGTGGAGGAGCCGAAGAGGAGAAGCGTGAGAGGAAGATGAAAAGATACACCATAATTCAAATGAAAGTGAGTGAAAATGGAAGAAAAAATAACATAAAAAACTCAATATAAAATCTACTTGAATATGTACGGACAAAATGAATGCAAACCTTCAATTGAATTTGTAAAAGATAGCACTTATTCATTGTAGACAACTTTACCATCAGTTTTTAAGATAACAAGTGCATGATTTAATTTAATTTAATACTTGATAAGGTAAGGGAAGAACTAAAAGAAGATATAATAAAATTATTCTATTATAACATAAATTTATAATATATAAATAATTTTTATTTATTTGATAAATTATTTATTTATTATTATTAAACAGATTAAAAAGAATATTCATAAATAAACATTTTATCAAACAGCATGAATTCCCCACATTTTTGTCGTTTGTTCAAATGCCTAAACCAGCTGACGAGTTGGCAAACTTTACGGAGTGGTTCAACAGTTTACGATACGAGGTAACCTTAGTTGAGTTGAGGTTCTTCGGTGAAGACGAAAGGTGTTTTCTTAGACCATTGCCTAAGCCATTAAATGAAACGTAGATTCTCTAAATATTTGCCAACTTGGAATGGAAACATGCAACAAAATGGAATCTGAACATGAGATTCTCTATGTGCATAAAGTCTTCTGTACATTTAGCAATATAAGGTAAACAATACAATAGTAATATTCTCAGACCCTTTTATGCAATATTAATTGAAGTAAATTTTAGGTGTAGAAAAAGAAAAAAAGTACAAAATATAATTATTAATGTAACAAAAAAACATAATGAAAATTTAACTGTAGATAAAATAATATAAGATAGATGAAATATGAGATAAATGAATATGAAAAAAAAAATATAGAACTATAGCATAAATAACATTATAAAAACATAAAAAGTTGAATATTCTTTTATTGGTGAGTAATAGACTATAGTTGAGTATTCTACTCTCTTGTCTCGAAGAGCATAGCTACAGAAGGTAGCTACCGCATAGTCATCTTTATGATAAGTATTTTAATGACACTAATTTAAAACATTTAATATATTTTATTAAATATTTCAAATAATTTAAAATTATCAAATTTTTAATACCAACAAGCAATGCGTAAATTAAGGACTACAACATCTTTGTTAATTAAAAAAAAAAACAGAAAAATAACGATTTCAATAAAGTATTTTCAAAACAATCTATTAAAGATAATCATTTTTAAAAATAAATCCATTTAAATGTACATTAAATGTTTATCTATTCCATTTTCTTTTAAAAATATAAATTCAATTAAAAACATACTCAAAGAATTAGAATAATTTAAAAAATTTTAAAATAAAAAATATTTTTCACACCTCATGGTGTGTTCTTGTGTTTTTTTAGTGTGTGTGGGGTAGTTATTTCTTTTTAAAATTCAAAGATTTATATATTATTGATTTAGTTTGAGAAAGATAAAAAAAATAGAAGAGCTTGAAAATCATTCTTTTTAAAATCACAAGTATCTACATAACAGATAATTGTGTTTAAATCGTCGAATTAAGAATATTTAAAAAATAATGATAATGGTTTTTTAGTAAAAAAATTGTGTACAAAATTTAAAATTATTTGAAACGCCTTCAATAATAACAATAGAGATAAAAAGTGATAAATATAACATATAATTTGATATGATATGAGTAATAAAAAAGATAAAGATATCACGATGATAACAAAATTAGATGCCATGATTCATGCTATCTTTTGTAACAATTCGTGGAAAAAATTCCACTGCTTTTAGCAAACTCATAAACAAATAAATAAATAAAGGAAGTAACAAAATTTCAGTTTCGTTAAATGTTGCAACGTTGAAGATTCTACAGTACACAACAGCAGGGGCCGGCACCGTAGAAAAAGTACATACCAATTTGCCATTGCTAAGGTTGTCTCTCTTGTTTCATGTGAAGTCATTAACGTCATCGCATGCCAAACAAGAACCCGCCACAACAAACTATTGAACCTCAAACTTCTTCCTTGGTTCCATAAAGCCACACCCAAAACCTGTTCCTGCATTTCATCCACACCCTTTTGAATTTCACCACTCTCTCACATCTCCGATTCTTTCTCCACAAACCCTTCTTTGATGATGGGTACCATCTCGCACGTGATCACTCTTCATGGCCCTACAGCTTCTACACGTTGCTCCTATGGCTACTCTCACTCCCACCCTCGTTTCAAAACATTGATACCTGCTAGAGTCGTCAATAAAGTTCGCGTCTTTAACGAGCTTAAGAGCCAAAACTCCACTTCCAAGTCCACCTGCGCCATTGATTTCAATGACTCTGATTGGAAAACCAAGTTCAAAGAGGACTTTGAGGCACGTTTCAGACTCCCCCATATCACTGATATCTTCCCAGATGCTGCTTCTATGCCCTCTACGTTTTGTCTCAAAATGAGGTTGGTATTAACATTGGATTTGTGTTTTTTTTGTTTCTTTTTGGTTATGTGTTTTGTCTGCAATTTATTTTCTTTCGTCATGTTTGTGACTGTGACAAAACTCGTAGGACAAGAGACTTTCCTGGCAATTATCCTTCGGATGAGGGTTGGAATGGATATGTTAATGACAATGACAGGGTGCTTCTTAAGGTAGAGTATTTCATTCATCCCTCATGTTGTTTGAATTTAAACTGATTATGAAGAGATATATAGCTTGATAGCTGTTATTACCGTTGGTATTGTTTCCCTTGTATCTTCATTGCATTCATGTGTCATCAATTTCTGGTTTCCTTTGTTGTCATTGTGTTGCACTTTTTCTTTAGCAATGATATTTGGTATTGTTTTGATGCTATCAGTGATTTTGGATCAAATTAGTTCCCTTTGTGGGCACCTGTTAATTAATACTAAATGAGTAACATGAATTGACACCTTAAGTTGGAATGTCAGCCTGGTTAGATGGTTGAAAAGCTGTTTCTTTGTCATCAACACTTATGTTTTTATTCTCGAATTTAGGCCAATATTTGTCTTGTTAGAAAACAGTTTTTTACGTTTTTCACTGATCTTTGCATTAGCATGTCTTTTGTTATTACAATTCAACTTCAGGGTAATGCTTGTGTTGTATATTAATTGATGATATTATTCTATCAAATTTATGTTACGCGTGCTGACAGTTCCAAACATTAATTCTGTTAAAATTTGCAGACAATATCCTATTCATCATCTACATCTGCTGGCGCCCAGTGCATGGATCCTGGTTGTAATTGGGTGGAACAATGGTACATATTTGATTTCACAATTTATATGTGGAATATATTGACAGAATATACACATGCCGGTCAAGAATATAGTGCTGGACATAGGATGGATTTTTTTCAATAAATGACATTAGAAACTCATTGAACAAAAACATTTCTTAACGAATATCTTGCTTGTATTGAAATTAAAGTTTGAACCTTTGAGAATTCAGTGCCCCTTCGTAGCTAGATAGCAATGCCTTAATTTCAATGATTAAATCCTTTTCTTTATATCACTTACAATTAATATCAGATGAATACACCCATTGTACTTTATCATTTAACCTGGAATTTAATTTTATTGTAAAATTTGGCTAATATTGTATTTCATCTTTCCTCACTTATCTGAATTTCAGCATGGTTTATTTTCCCTGAAAATGTATCAAACAAAGCCAATATTGGCAAGGATTCTTGTCATTGTATAATATAAAATGAAGTGACAGAGTGAAATAAAAGAACTTAGAATTGATGCATTGCAATTCTGATACACAATTTTAACAATCAGATAAATGTTCCAAAGTATTCACTCACTAATTGGACAGTTGGATGTGAATATCACAATCACCTTCTTTTTTTGACAGGATGAGAAAGTGAGATTGAGAGATGTTCCAGAAAATGATGAACAATTGGTTACTATAAAATTTTATTTTGGATTATCAAAAAGTTATTTTATAATATCTGGCATCAATCTCTTTCTTTCTAGTCTTTTTAAGGTATAAACTTTTGTTTCTAAGATTATCATATTTAATGAAAGATTCTGAAATCCTTTCAGGGTTCGTCGAGCCGGACCTCGGGAAAAGATATATTTTAAACCAGAAGAAGTAAAGGCCGCAATTGTTACTTGTGGAGGGCTCTGCCCTGGTCTTAATGATGTCATCAGACAGGTTAGTTTAATATCAAATTGTTTCGAAAATAACTGAGAAAAATTTTAGATGAAAGATTAAAGATTTGCAGATTCTCTTGTAGTTAAGGCAGCAAAAGTTACTTGAGAAGTGTAACATTTTTTAATTTGCATTGCCTGCACCATCTTGACAATACCTTATCAATAAATTTTTTGGGCAGTGAAAAAATGCTCTTATGCCAAAGTTATGGCAAATATATTCTTTGCTGACATGTAACTGTCTTAAGTATGATTTAAGCAACCACCTGTCCTTTGCATTTATGTTTAAAATTGTAAATTATTTCATATCTTTTAGTTTAGGATATTCCTAGATTAGCTTCCTTTGTAAACCATTTCTAGTTATTATGGTCAATAGTTTGTTTCTCAATGTTTGATTCAATAATGCTGCAGATTGTGATCACACTTGAAATATATGGTGTAACAAAGATTGTGGGTATTCCTTATGGTTATCGTGGATTTTCTGACGAAGAGTTGACAGAAGTTCCGGTAATCTTATGCTTCCCTCGTTGCTGATTTTAGTCTGAAATCTGAATTCCATTTAATTAGCTAAAGATTTATTGTGCTTTTCATTTTGTTAATGACTTTACCAATTTGGGATTTCATTTGCAGTTGACAAGGAAAGTGGTTCAGAATATTCATCTTTCAGGTGGAAGCCTATTAGGAGTTTCACGTGGAGGACCTGGAGTCAGTGAAATTGTGGACAGTTTGGAGGTGGTTGATTGATCCATTCTATTAACAAATTTGATAATTTCACGGTGAAGATTCTTTTTTAAAATGCTAGCTACTGTATTTACTGCGGTTTGTTTGATTGCATATTATTGATTTCAGGAAAGAGGGATCAACATGCTCTTTGTTTTGGGTGGAAATGGCACACATGCTGGTGCAAATGCAATTCACAACGAGGTTGTTAATCTTTTATCTTTGTATATTAATTGATTGCATTCAGTTGGATTATTTTGTGATGTATGATGAGTATCTAATGAATTAATATTTTTTCCTTTCAGTGCTGTAAAAGAAGGCTTAAGATATCTGTAATTGGGGTGCCTAAAACTATAGACAATGATATTCTATTGATGGACAAAACTTTTGGCTTCGATACTGCGGTTGAAGAAGCACAGAGAGCAATAAATTCTGCATACATTGAGGTGAATTACTTAATATTCTCAGTTAATTTTTATCAAACCCATTAATGTTTTCAAGTTAGTAAATATGACGATATTTACGTTTCTTCCCTCATTTGTTAGGCACATAGCGCATATCATGGAATTGGTATTGTGAAATTGATGGGTCGTAACAGTGGATTCATAGCAATGCAGGCTTCCTTAGCTAGTGGACAGATTGACATATGTCTGATTCCTGAGGTATATATGAGAAAAATTGGTCAGAACTCTCTTTATTTAACATATTGATAAACTGATGCAAGTTATTGCTTTGGTTCAAAGGTACCTTTCAATTTACATGGACATCATGGAGTTTTGAGTCATCTCAAGTACCTTATAGAAACAAAGGGATCAGCTGTAGTCTGTACGGCAGAGGGAGCTGGGCAGGTGATTTAGATGGTGTACTTATTTTCACAAATAATAAATCAACAGCAGTTGCATTATTAAAATTCTGCTTTTATGTTATGGTGTGGCAGATCAATACAAAAAATAGAATTTCCTTTTTTATTAATTTATTTGAAGACTGTTACATTCTGACATAAAAATATAAACTGGCTGATATATCTTCTTGATGCAGAACTTACTTCAAAAGACTAATGCTACTGATGCTTCTGGGAATATTATTTTTGGAGACATCGGTGTATATATCCAGCAAGAGGTTTGTTATTAATTTGGATATGATGCTTACAACCATATGGGTTGAGAATTGATTAAAATTGGGGTGTGTGTATACTGCTTGAATTAAAAGTCAAATTAAATATAAGAAAGAAAATCTAAGCTAGTGGAATAGCTCATTTATAATTTCTCCCCTAACTTTACTAAATTTGTATTTTAATTATCAGTCTATATGTCCAGGATATTCATGCTACAAGTTGAAACTTCAATTATAGCTTCCTTTTTTATAATGACAAAGATCGCGGGTTTGTTATTTGTAACTACTTAGAAATTGGGAAAAGAAGCTATTTGCTCTTCTAAGCATAATAATTGCGGCATAAAAGGATAAGTTCCCTCACAAACACATCTTGTGAAAGCCAGGATCATGTGAGTTTATATAAAAAAGTTTATGATGATCTTCTTTCTTTTCTTAAATACTGAATAGTGTGCTTTGGGCAAAAAAAACCTAAGCTATTGCATGGGTGCTTTCTGAAATGAGCGAAACATGAAGCAGTTTTGAACTTAGTTATGATCCTGACCTGCTTTCCTTCTTTTATTTCTGTTAAAGGTAAAATTCAAATGCACTTGTTGATGTACATTGCATAGCATTGTGTTTCTGTTGCATATTCTCATATGCCTAACAACTTGAATATGACATTTAGTTTTCAATTTAGATATCTGCCTTCATTTAAATTTTCTAAATCTAAGTGTTTCAACGTTTTATAACAGACGAAAAAATACTTCAAGGAAATTGGTGTTCATGCTGACGTAAAATATATTGATCCAACATACATGATCCGTGCATGTCGAGCAAATGCTTCAGATGGAATTTTATGCACTGTACTTGGACAAAATGCTGTTAGTCCCTCTTCCTCTCTATCTTTTACGTTCTGCATATATATGATTTCACTTCTGTTATTGGTTCTCATAAAGCAGTTTATCATCCTTTTATTCTCATCAATACTGCAATGCACTTCCAGATTATGTTTATACTTTTAAGCATGGAAAATTTAGATCTCAATCCAAGTCAATATGTTCCTATTGATCTACTTTCTTTCAAAGAAAAACATAAACCATGTGAATATTAATTTTATTTGAACACCTGGAGTTTCAGCCCCATAAAATGTGCATAATAAGACTGACATACGAGAGGGGGTGAGTTAACCCTGTGATCATATTGCCTCCGCTCATCTTTTCTGATTCTTCATTCTACATGTCTTTGCTGCTTTAGAGAGTAGAAATACGTGGAATAAATCTTCAATTTGATCCTCCAAAGTTGCATGTGTCATCACATTAGTTCTCAAAAAATTTTGGTCACCAAGTCTCAAAGATCTTAAATGTTATCAATATCATTAGTTCTCCAAACTAAATCAGTTTTTAAAATATTTTAAAACGTTACTATATTTGTTTTTGTGGAAGACTAAATTAGTGACACAAATGGATCTTTGAGGGACTAAGTTACTCACAAATTAAATCTTTAAAAGACTAATTTAACTTGCTGATCCTTCAGATCTCTGAGGGATAACGTTCTGAGGATTAATATGGTGGCTTGGGTAACTTTAGCGGACCAACTTGAGAAAATATTCAATATGTGTTTCTGAGATTAGGGGTATTTGGTATTAATTCACAACTTTGTATTGCAGGTTCATGGTGCATTTGCAGGATATAGCGACATTACAGTGGGCACATGTAACACACACTATGCTTACTTTCCCATCCCCGAAGTTATATCGCATCCCAAGTTGGTGGATCCTAACAGTCGAATGTGGCATCGATGCTTAACTTCAACAGGCCAACCTGACTTCATCTGATTTTTTTCCCATTTTAATATATTCAAGAGGCTTCGGAATTCAGGCTTCCATAGAGTATATCATAGGAAGATAGCTTCAAAAAATATATAATATTTTTTGTCAATCTACCAACCTCATAAGTAGAAATAATACAGAAGATACATTTCCTCCTTATTCAAATTATTGATTTTTTGTATAGCATGGTATATTCATTGTCTATCCTATTGCATTCAAATTAAATTTGAAGAGGAATAAAGCATTACTGGTTTGATTTTGATCGATTGTGACATTTGTTGTAACTTATAATAAGGCCAAATTTACTGACATAGCAAATTTAATCGATGCTTTGTGTTCCAGCTCGTGCCCCAGTTATTGGATTGCCTATTCATATTTGCATTACTGGAGATGATTTTTTTTGTTTCAGTAGTGCGTAGAGTATTCTAAGATCATTCTTAATGCAGTCTATTGAATTTGTATTTCAAGACTCTGATGCAAAAAATCAGTATTATTTCATTTTCTTCTGAATTACGGCATTACTGTAGTAACTTTGTTTTTCCCGGTTAGTATAAACTTTCTTTGAAAACAATCATTAGAACTAGAGTTTAATAATTACCCCTTTGATCGCTTTGCATTTTTTCAGAAGACTCAGAATGTTTGGTGACTGCTTTAAAAATAAGTTTTCTGTTTTTAAAAATAAATTTTAGTACAAATTTATATTAAAATTTATTTTTAAAAACAGAAAATTATTTTCAAAACAGTAATTAAACATACTCTCAATGTCAAGAATATCAAACTATTATTTATTCCTTCAAACCTCGTAATTAGTTTATTATTAAATTGTCTATTTTAATTAAAAATCTTGTGTATTTTAAATGTGTACAATACTATATGACTTTAAATACTGAGAAGTAGTAAATTATTTTACAATAGACTGTAAGAATGGTAAAAACGGGTCAATTCCTCTCATTTTACTGTGTCTTGTCATGAACTAGCCAAAAAAATAGAGTAGGTTGAAATGGGTTAGATTCAACCCGGTAACAAGCTTTTAGGCAAATTGAAAACATCACTGTTTTATTAGCGGGTTAATGGATTGACCAATTTAAATATTTTAAAAATTAAAATATAAATTAAATAAAAAGTAATATATATAACTTACATAAATAATTAATTTTATTAATATTAAATTTTATTTTTAAAATTTTATTAAACTTATGTATATATATATAAATATGTATATAATATTAAAAAAACATTTTTTTAAAAATTTGACAAGTAAACCTATTATAATCCGTTTTAAAAACGTACTAGCAAGTTTGAAATCGCAATCCACCCTACCCAATTTAGTAGATTAGGCGGCTGAACTTATTTGTCAATCCTAGCTGATTAATAGTCAATAAAAAAGTGACACATCACAAAAAAAAAGAAATAGCAAAAAATTAAAAATTAAATAATATATATTAATTTGAATAACATGTATCAATAAAATATATAATTTATAAATATAATAATATTATAACGAAAATATTATTTTAAAATAAAAATATATAAAAATAAGTTAATGATATAATTTTACAAACATTTATTTATATAAAAAGTTTAAATTTTGTTTTATAAAATTATTGTGTAACATATATTTGTATAAATAAATATTTAGAAAATGTAATTTCTATTATACTTGTAAATCAAAAAGGTATTCTATATATTTTTATACACAAAATAATTATTATCGTTAATTTTATATTAAATATACAATAAAGATAGTAGTCTATTTTAAAAAAATATAAATATTTTTAATATATTATAATAACTACAATTATTAATTTAAAAAATATAAGATATTATTTTAATATTATAGTCACCTTAGCAAGTGTCTTTAAAAAATTATTTTATTATTATATTTTATATATTTTATTATTATATAATAATTATTAGAATAAACTAATTTAGATAAATTTTTAAAATATAAATATAAAACTAAAAAATGTTATAATTGACTAGTCAAACTCTATCCATTTTCATTCCAAAATACAATGCTTTTGGAGCTCTTATAAAAGTAGATTTTTGGAAAGTGCTACGGATTCGGAGCTCTCCAATTTTAACCCCAAAAATAGCGAAAAATCACTTAAAATTTTCTCATCTCTCTCTTTCACTCAAAACGGATTCAACCTGTAGCCCTTTTGTTTGCGGCATTTGCCGTGTCCTTTGACATGTTTCTGATCATTCTGATTGACCCAATAGTTCGCTCATTGGGAAAGGTTAGCTTCTGACATTGGCCTTTTTCCTCATGCGCATCAACAATCAAACATCTCACAACACTTCAAGAAGCTTTCTTCTGTCTCTGCCAATGCCATATGGGACTTCAGCTGTAGCTCTGGTAGGGTTACCTTATTTCATAAATTGTTTTATAAATAACCACACAATGATCAAAGTTATTCAATGTGATACTTATTTGTAGAGTGATTATTACAATAAATATATATAAATAAACATATATGTTATTCGTAATATCATCTTAATTTTATATTAAAAAAATCAAACTTATAAATTAAGTTATATTATTTGATGCTACTATAATATGTTATATGGAATTAATTTTTTAAATTCTTAAATACTCACAAATATCCGTATAAACGAAAACGGATACGGCTCTTATCCCTAGCCCCATTTCATACCCGAATGTATTTTCGATCTTCTCCTTTTACTCCTTTGTACGTTAGTCAACACTGGTTTTCAGTCAAAGATAGAAGTGCACGAATATACCCTCTGTTACTGCCTCGTGTTAGGAACAAAAATGTGGCAAAAGAAATTAAAAGCACTTTTGTAGCAAGGAGAATCAACCCAGGTCAGCCCTAGTGAACAGTGATCTTTTAAGTGTTCATCCTTCTTTTCTTAATTTATTTTCCTTTAGCCAAAAAATTGTTCCGTCTTTTATGCCTTTTGAAAAATCAAATCTCTCAAATCTTATAATTAATCACCTGTAATCCATGGCAGATTCCTCCTGCATGCAATAACCAGAGAAATTGACCATCCGTGAACATATATATAATTTTAAAAAAATGCATTCAAATTAATATGTTACAGTTGAAACACTTATATTTTTTTTATGTATGTATCTGATGAACAACCCCTTTGGGCTTTTACTCATCTCTTCTTTCTTTCTCTGTCCTGTCTGAAAAAAGAAATCTAGTCTATGCTTAAAAACACATAATAAAAATCTATGTAGAATAGAATTTTATTAGAAATTATAAAATATAATACATATTAATAATATTAAAAACTATAAATTTAATAAAAATTACTATTGATTAGTTTTTTATTATATACGTTAGGACACACATTAGAAGAAACAAAAAAAATGCTTCTTGGGTCTCTCATTGTGGTTGAATTGAATACCTGCTTCTGAGTGTAAGCACTTTAATCTGCATTAGTGAGTGACGAGAGCAAGCAACAACAGTAGCTAAGGTTAGTTTTGCATGTTGCTAAAGAAATGGAAGAAAGAGGTTGAGTTGCTTGAGCATGTGTATGTATGTCTGTATGAGAGAGAGAGAGAGCACTTAAGAACTTCGTCACTCACTGCATTCACCCAAAGCTGTAAAACTTCCACCAACCTTGATCAGTATGGCAGTGGCATTGACCATACTTGGGGTCCCCACCACCTAACACTGCACAGAAATACACATGCATGGAGAGTGAGTGAATGTGAAACACAGAACATACACCACAAAACTGACATACACAATGAGAAGAGAATTATTCTCTTTACAACTCTGCCCAATCCTTTCTCTTACAATTTTTTTCGATTTTAAATTTGTTAAGATAACGTTTGTTAATTTCAAGATATACAATTGTAATCTTAGAAATAACATTATTCTTAACAATACTATGTTTTATAATATTATTGTAGCTAAATTGAAAAACATTTCTGTGTGGTCGATCAATATCTATGGAAATATTTTTCAAAATTGAAATGATAAAACAAAGTAAAAGTGAAAACAAAAGTTATTGTTTAAATCATACATTAACTTCTAATATTTTCATGGGAAAATACCATGTTTTTTCTGAGTTTAATTTTGATAAAGTACTGGTTATATTATAGTTTCTATACTATTAATTAATTAAAAAATGTTTTAAATATGATTATTAATATAATTATTATAAAAATAGTGACTTTTAATTATATAATAAATCATGGTTAGATAATAATAAAAAATATTTTTTCTGTTGTCAATGTATTTTATTTAAAATATAATAAATTAATAGATAAAACATGAAAAACAAATATGTATATCCTAAAACATATTTTAAAATTAAAGTAAACATAAAGATATCATATTTCCAACTACACCTTTCTAAAAATAACTTTTCAAAGTTAGAAACAAATACAGTCCAATTGTTTATGTGCCAATATTAATTTATAGCGTAGTGAAAGATGACTAATGTTGAAATTTTTAAAAAGACAATTGTTGAAAACACATCTTATTAACAAATATAAACTCAGTGTATCCCACATATATGAGAGAGAATATCAGAGTGAAACAACCTAAGATATATCAATATATAAAGTATTTTTACATCTTTTGTTTTCAAACTAATAAGTATCTTTTATAAAAGGTAATATTATTTAAAATATGGTAATAAAAATTCAAATTATGATTCACTATTTTATAAATGACCTTTTTTGTCAAATATTTTATTAAATGGCTAAAGTAGCATTTGATATATTCACTCTTTTGATTTTTGAATAATTTTTCTGATCAACAATAAGCTTTCGCAGTCAATTTCTGAGATACGTATGTTGGGCTCATTTTTTTTAGTATCTCTCAGTTTTTCAAAATGGCTTTCTTACTGAATAAACTTTTCTTTTCTCTTCTTTATTTTCTTTATTTCAAATCTCAGGATCTAAAATTACACTATCCAAAAACAATTACTAGCGTAGTATCTAACAAAATATTAGTGGAAAAAAACAGTACACGATAAATATTTCTGGTATTTATGGTTTAGTTATTGAAAATTATATTATAAATTTGAATTTCAGTTTTTGAATATGAGGAAACTTGTACTATATTGTTTTTTTGTGCAAGTGACTTTCTTATTATTAATTTTTTAAATTATAAAATTATTATCTTTTCTTTTCCTTTTACATCAAAAGTTTTTCTTTTAAATGGCAGGTTTAATTGCTTGATTTAAAAAAAATGCTAAAACCTTCTTGTTCATCGTAAATCTCAGTCACTTATATTTTTTAAAATTATTTTTATTCTAAATATAAGCTACTTATAATTTTTATTTATTTAAATTTATTATATATACTTCTGTTATAATATTAAATCATTTTAAAGTTTACTTCAGTTTAAAAAGTAACATACTGTGTGCAGTACTTGTTAGTACTAAGTAGGTTTGAACTTTGAATTGTAGAATCTCCAAATTTTGCCTGTGGTAATTGTACTTACTTGAACGATTAAAAAATACACCGTATAAATATAATATTGTATATAATATGTTCCTTACTTTTATTTTTGTATATACACCAGCAAATACTTATGAAATAATTCAAAATATACAAAAGAGTTCCTTTTACTTTTGACTCAGGACAAGAAATATTATTTGAAATACACGCAGCACAGGTATATAATTTAGATATCATTTAATTATAACAGGAAAAAAGAACGCATAAAAACATTAGTGGTCAATTAACTTATAATTATAATTCAGAATGTTTAATGATAAAACCCTTAAGCAGTTGGTTCAATGGAATAAGATAAAACTTCACATTTGATAAATTAAATTACATATTTAAATCTATATTCATTTCTTTAGAATAAAATAAATATGAATCTTTTATATTTGTTTTTTAAGTTGGGATACTTTTCTATCTTAAAATAAGATACTATTCTTTTTTAAGACTTTTTTGGAAAAAATATGTTTAAACATAAAAAATTAAATATAATAAATTTCGTCCTTTGTTTTAATTAATTAGACCAAAAGAGTATATATACACACACATCAATCGGGTTTTTGTCGTTTTATATAATTTCATACATTTAAATTTTACAATTTCAAGGGAATTGTCGGTTCTTGCTTCTTCAGTTCGCCCTAAAAGGGGTACATATCTGGCTCTTGGGGTATTGGGATCCATTAGGAGTATATTATAATTGATAATTATGTGTACGCCTGATGTAATAATGTGTTAACAAGGGAGTCCTATGTTTAGAGAGAATCAAAGGTTACATTCTTAAAAATTATCACTGTAGGCTTAATTATAGTTTTCACTTTTTTTCCTTAGTTTGGGTTATACGTGATTTTTGTATTTTTAAAATTATGAAATTTAATTTTTATTTTATTTTAAAAATATCTTTTTTTCAGAATTTATAATGAACTTGAAACATAAATGATTTGCAAATTTTAAAGTAAAAATTAATGAACAATTGATAAAATGGAAAAAAAAAATGTTATGAGTTGTAAGTTTAGAGTTTGAAGAGGGAAAAATTTGAAAGTTTTTTTTTTTTCTTAAATTTTTGTCTAAGAGTTGATATTTTAGTTAGTGAATTTAAAAAATGATAATTTAATTTGTAAAAATTTTGTGTAAAGAATTAAAATCTATGAGTTTTAAGAAGAAGAAAAATAAATGACACGCTGAAGGTGCACAATTTAAAAATAAAAGAACATAATTAGTTAAAACAATTAAAAGACTGAAATCACACGCAACCTAAACTAGAAAGATTTAAAAAAATAATTAAGAAAAAGAAAAAAGAAGCAAAGGTTTATGTTCAGTTGACCATGCTTGATTGTTTGAAATCAGGCAATGCAATTATGCTAATTTTGTTTAGAGTGCAACAAAGCTTCACGAAATGGTTTACGACGTTTTAATTTTACAATAAAATAAAACAAAAACGAAAAAAAAACAAACAATGTAATACAAAGTATAAAGAGATCTTTCACAATTTAAAAGTGTTTGTGTTTAATAAAGTTTTTTTTACAGGGTCGACATTAGGCTTTTTTGGATGATAATAGATGGATGAGTATCAATTTAGATTTTTACATACTTTCAAAGTTTTTTCATTCTTCTACATTAATTTTTTGTTCCTGTTCTATCACCCGTTACATCGTTTATTCATTTGTTTTCTCTTCTTAGTTCTCCTCTAATTGTATACACCAACCAATCAATTTTTTAAAATATTCAAACTTTCAAATATAACTGAAAAGAAAAATATGAATGTAAGTTCATTTGTGCTTCTTTTTTAATAAAACTAACTCGTACCATTTAATAGTGTGTAATGATATAAGCAAGCTCGTTGTTTTCTTATCTGATCGGTTCAAATGTTCACAAAATAGTCCATGCAAAAATAATACATAGTATAATGTTTGTTACATTTTTTTTTCTTTGACTAAAATATTTTATAGGCATTGTTGCGACGTTAACTTCACAAATTTGGCGTAGTTTCAATTGTTAAAATCAGTATTAAAATTAATAAAAAGTAAGTTACAGTTAGTATATATGATTTTAATCATACTATCAAGTTACGGTTTATTTTTCCAATTTTATGGAAGATAGCTGATATGTTATGAAAGAATTTGACGTAATTGTATTGATATTTTATTTAACTTTTAAAAATATTTTTATTTTTATCCAGAAGAATCCTAAGAATCCCCGTAGCTCATAGAAAGGTTACCAGTTTTTTTAAAAAAGACATGTTAAAATAATAAATGTGCGTGGAAAATCTTACATTAATTAAGAATAAACATATTTAATTACATATAAATGGAAAAAAAAAACATTTCAGATGTCATATCCAATCCATATACGTGATTTACTTGTAACTAATTAATATAAATCTCTCTTAAAGATTTTAATCTCCTCGTATTTACTAACGGAACAAAGTATATTTCTCAAATATAAAATAGATACACTCTTACTTTGTTTACTTTATATAGTATTTCCTTTTGAAAAAAAAAGCAAAACGTGTAGTGCATGTTTCTTTTACAAGTTTAATGGCTCTAAGCCATTTCAAATTGTTTTTTTACGAGTATTTGTCACATAAAAAATTAATAAGTTTCTTCGTTTAGAGTGAACAGTACACTTTGAAAGATAAAAAATATTTAAAATTAGTAACAATAAATGGTATTATAAAATATAAATATATTATAGATGTGTACGTTAAACTCTTATATGGCTATAATTTTAAATAGTATTTTGAAACGACAATAACCTTCTCTAAAGTGTATCTTTCATTTTAAATGAGCCAAATCCAAAGAAATTGCAAAGAGTGGATGTATTTCGAAAGGGAAAAAAAAAGTTTATAACAGTTAAAAAATAAAAGTAAGTTTAGTGAATAGGAATATAAATATATGGAACATAGGGAAGTGCCCTCATATCCTTCTTTTTGTAATGTTTTGTGAGTAGTAGTGCCAAACTAAGCGGACTTGAGATCTTGTTTTGTTTAGTGTTGTTCCAATACTTAAATGTTGACTGGTCAATGACAAACAAAAGCTAGCGTGGGCATTCCATCAGAGAGTTTTCCAATCCCAAAATACAGCAAAGACGAATTTTGGGTTTCCTGTGTAGATCTTGGTCGCAAATAATGACAATGACCCAACAAACCATTACCGTTGGTTACGTTAATTCTTGCTTCTCGGACATACACGCACCAATTCAACCATATTATAAGACATCTCAGATCCTTTGAAATTTTGGATAATTTTTAGGCACGGGATACCTTTGGTTTATTTATTCTTCTCCAAAATTGAGGAATAATAACCCATAAAAAATGTTTTATATATTAATTCTCTTCTAAAATGAGAAGTTAGGACATTCACATGAACAACAATTATAGCTCCTCTCCAAATATTACATTCATACTTGACATGCTGTGCATGTGCCTCCACAACATTGTTTCATCAAAATTTTCTCCACCAACCGCATCGCCGTAGTATTTGCAGCTGTTTCTATAATCTGACTATAAACAACTAGCAACACATCCTATCCATGTCCATGCTTCTAGCACTAGACCACTTAAATTCACATCTTATTCATCCAAAGCACACGCTGTCATTGAGAATGTTTCCCAAGGGTCTCCAAGACCACACCAAACTCCCATTCAACCAAACTAAATGAACTTTGGTGAAGGAAGAAAATTCACATTTCATGACTTGGAAGTTCCATTAGAAGGTCCATCTGGTTTGCTCCTCTTGGTGTTTGGACTATTATGTGAAGAATTTGGACATGACCCAACTGTTAATTCATCACTTTTACAACTCAAGCATCCAGCATCCAGCACCCCAACAGGGCTTTGGGGCACAAATGGCGCCGTCTTACTGCCCAAATTAGCAGCAACATTGATCAAGGACAAATCTTTTATCAGTTCAACACACTTTAGAACTCTCCCCTGAATGAAAATCCCATAACACAAAAGTCAGAACAATTTCACTAAGGAACCATGATATCAAACACCGATTATCAATTCAACAAGGACAAAAGCAAATGCGAATTCATCCTTGCACGCTTTATGTGAGAACAACCACCTCACCTTCTCTACTATTAAGAAATCAGCTATGGCCTTATCAATCTCCTTTGATTGCAATTCCCTTAAAACAGAAATTGCCACCGCCGCAGCAATTTCTGAAGGCTTGAACTCCAAGAAGTCAATACCTTCAATTGATTTCCCAAAAAAGCACCAGTCAAACTCACTACTCCCTGAGAAGGAACAGAGTACGGAAGGACCAAATATTTAAACAGAGTAATGACAATACCTCGGATTATGCTAAGGATGAGCTGCACTGATCTTGAAAAGGATGACTTTACCAGATGCTCCTCACAAGTGATCTTACCAAGGAAGTAGTCTATGAAGGAACAAGGAGTTAAAGTTTGCATTCTCCATCTCAATGTGCTTAATACCAGTAGTTCCATTTTTTGAATGGTTTTAGCTTCAAACACAAATTTTGGTTCTCCAACCTACCCATTATCAATGTCCATGAGAAAATTAGATGGTAGTAAACATAACGAGATCATATTTAACTATCTTACAAGATTGTATCATTCTATTTTACCTGTAGATCTACAGATTGAGGAACTTTAATTTCCTCCATTTTAGCTGCAATGGACAAGCAAGCTACAGCTAACAATTGTACCGTCCAACTTACACCACTCTAAAGATACAGAGAAAAAGGCCAGAAAAATCAATTTAAAGAGATCACAAAGACATAAACCAAGTAAAGCATGCCATATTTTAGACACTTGCTCTTACCGGTAAATCAAAAACCGATAGGAAACGATCCAAGTAGTTCACAGATAGACAAAAGCTCAACGGTCCAAAGCCGAAATAAGCATGAGCCTGTTGATCAAATTATAAAAAGCAAAAGTTAAACTGAATTACCCAAACAAGTAAAACAAAATTGCAACCTTCATAACACAATCACATCCAGTAAGAAACCAAATTCAAACATACAAGAGAAAGGAAAATCCAAATCAGCTTAGAATGTCAACAAGTTGCCACAAAATCACGATTTGGCAACAGAACCTAGCTGTTCCATTACCAACCTTAAAAGTTCAAAAATTGAAGTAGAACCAACAAAATTAAGACCCCAATGAGAAAGCCAAACATCACATACAAACCGGTATTAGAAGGGGGGAAAATTTTTGTAACATAGTTAAAAACAACTCTTTTTGGATGAATAGAGTCTCATTAGAAGCTCCTGACCCACCAAGGAAATAATCCATACAAATTAATCCCCCAAAATATATATATATGAGGGATTCATTTATCCATGCCCATTGAATGAAAATGAAGCAAAAAGGAACTGTCCAGTGAATCAAACAGCATTTGAGAAAAAACCAACCTTCCAAATCCAATCAAGAGCCTCTCTCCTTACACTCAAGTCCAAATCCCCAGTACGCAGCCTCTTCAGATAATCATCCTTTGGCAAATGCTCCCTCTCCTTCTCAACCATAACCCTCACAGTTTCCTCACTCTGTAACCCAAAGCACGTTAGGGACTCCGATCCACAGTTATCCAGACACAGACCCTCATGTTCAGAGTTAAGGTTTGTGTGGTCCCAGGAAGGTGAGAAGATTCCAGAACCATCTGCACCATTACATTCCAAATCATCATCAAAGCAGGTACTACTGTTCTCAGAACAAAAGAGGTTAGAGGAGGCACTGTCTATGTTCTCAGCCATTGATATAGACCTCAAAAAAGGATTCTATAACAGAACCTCATCAAAGGGGTGGGATTAAAAGAAGACAACTTTGTGCGGTGTTTTGTGAATTGATGGAAAACCCATATGACAGTGTTTGAGTATGTAAGTGTAGAGTGAAGAATGGAGTGAGAGAGTGGTGAAAGGAATGAGCTTTATGTAGGAAGCGGGTTATGCTTTTAGGGTAAAAGAAGGGGTGGATGGGGCAACAAAGATGGGCAATGGTGGTATCCATGGATACACCAAAACCCAAAAAAGAGAGGAAAATAAAATCATCTACTATGGTGGGTACGAAAAACAAATAGTGGTGTAATTTTGTCAAAATGGAAAATTTGTATCCCTAGAGACAATGTATGGAAAACAAAATTTTAGGATTCCTCTTTTGGTATAACTTTTTAGTTTTGCTACTCTTTTCTTCAAAATTTGATTATTTAATATGTTTATATGATTTTGTTGCTTTTTAAATGGTTTTTAATTTAAATGTTTTTAAGACCATCATTATTCTTTATCTGTCATTGACTTTTGTTGAATTATAACTTTGAAGGACTGTTTAAAAATATAAATAAAATATAAGAGTATATTTAATTATGTTATTTATCAGAATAAATATTTTGTTTAAATTTTAAAAAACTGTAATTTAATCAAATTTAACAATTTTTTAATGATTATTATTGAGGAATGATTTGTTTAAAATGTTGACAATGTAAAATATTCATTGGAATTGCAAGTGTAATAAAATAAAGGAATGTGGCTTTTTAAATTCTGGTAAATGATTTTTCAAAGGACAAATAACTTCCCTCAAATGAACTAACCGTTGTAAGTTTTCTAATTTTTTTTTCTTTACATTTTTATACAAACATAAATACACTCTAATTGTTATTCCTTATTCTTGTGTTTAAAATAATTTCTCTTAAATATTCCAAACAAAAAATCAAGGTGATTAGTTGATATTATTGTATTTGTACACAGGTCAAATAATAAATATAAGTTAATTTTATCCTTTCAAATAAGATAAATTGAATTGGAGTTTCAAATTAGCATACACATGTATATCGTGTAACTTAGTTAATACACTATTGGAAATCAGATATTTCAATCTACTAATATTGACTTAGTTTGGTAAATTTTTAAAATTAGTTTTCTCTTGTCGTGGTAGACATTTTAATATAATGTTTGTGATTATATATATATATATATATATATATATATATATATATATATATTCATGACAATTATAAGTTGAAATTTTTAAAATTATGTAAATAGGCTAAGGCAGCATTAATTTCATTGTAAATTTTCGCTATTGTTAGTTATTTGTATTTATATTGAAATGAGATAGCATATATTTCATCTTTAACTTTATATCTATAAAAAACCATCCTATTTTGGAATTAAACAAAAAAACATGCTATTTATCTTACAAAATGATAATTAGTTTAATTCGTTAGTAAAGGGTTATATTATTACCAAAAAGTTATTATTTACTAGCGATTTATTATTATATTAGTTTTTGGTTAATATATTATTTTCAATAAAAACTCACTGGTTAGTGTGAATATTTTAACAATTAATTTTATTAATTTAGAACATTAAATTGTATTATCAATAAACAAACGTTAATATATACTAAATTATTTGTCTGTAAAAATTCTAATTTGTTTACTAATATTTTTATTTTTTTCTAAGCAAAAATTATAACAACAAAACTATCTTAATATTTGATATTTTATTAATAACTGAAATTTTGTATAATAAATAAATTAAAAAGGTAGGATGAAATACTAATATTAAAAATTGATTAACCATGCCCTGCAATGAGAGGCCCATTTTTCATCATTTTCTTCACACAACTAACCTGGTTGGATATGGCGATTGGCGTGACTTGGTAGCAATTTATGATAAATACGAAAATTCAAGACTAATAACAAAACTTTTATTCCATTATCTTCATTCTAAAATTGAAAACATTTTATTTAACGTAGCCTCGTACCAAAAAATTTCTTAAAACAGCCTGATTAGTTAGAAACAATTAACATTATACACACAAAAAAAAAAGTTTAAAATATTGTATCTCTGTCAATACATAAAATTTTTTTAATTGGCTCATATTTATGTTCAGTGATTAATTGAATAAATATTTAAAGCTTGATTTGAAATGATATAATTTTATAAATTTAATTTTAGTTTAATAAAATAAAAATTTACCTTTAAAAATATCAAAAAATTATAATAAATAATTATTTTAACATAATAAAATATTTATTATTATTTTTACTATCATTCAAACAAACTTTTAAAAATAAATTTTATTATATATATATATATATATATATATATATATAGAGAGAGAGAGAGAGAGAGAGAATATGAAGTAACTCGAAAAATAATTGACAAAATTTATTTCATTCTTCAAACAAAAAAATTTATTTCGTTCAATAATATTTTATAAATAAAAAATTTCAACAATCTAATTGTTAAACTAAAAATAAAATAAAGTAAAATAATAATACAAATTAAAATTTAATTAATAACTTGTCACATAAGTTTATTTAATATTTTAAAGTATAAATAAATATTAATTATAAATTTGTATATTTATAAATATTTAATTTATCTTTTAAATTTAATTTTAGTTCATATTTATTTAAACGGACACAATCGCATTATCTTGTTTGTCCGTACTTGTAAGTAACATTGACCAGGACGCAACTATATGATCTGGCTACTGCAAGCAATCTTTAAGGGCGTTTAGAATCGAATTAAATAATCTAAATTGATCTGATAAATTGAAAACCAATTAAAAGAAAATTTTATTAAATTAAAACTTAAAACATATTTTATATTATAGCTCGATTTAATTTCTATTTTTATTGTTAAAATTCAACTAAATCAAACTGATTACGCATATAAGATATTTATATAATTTTTAATATGTTTTTACTGTATTTTTATATATATTTTTTTAATTTGAGTATAATATTGTATAAATATATGATGTATTGTTTGTATTTGTTCTAATTTCTTACGTCTCTTAATTGAGTATTGCCTTCTTTTTTCTTCTATCAACAAATCTATCATCATTTTACAATTTTACTCTTCAAATTAAAATTAACCTCATCTTAATTTAGTTCAGTCTAACCCAGCTTGAAAAATGACTGATTGGCTCTAATGTTTTTATCTTTTTAAGATTTTTGTTTAGTTATTTAAAATAAAAAACTCGAAATAGTAAACTAAATGGAGGCAAATAAATCAAAGCGTAAAGTGATGTTTGCAAAAATCGAATCTATACTTAGATTATTTCACAGTAAATTACGGAACATTGAACGTATTTCCTTATCTAATTTTGATACTCTCTTGCAGTTATTAGATTATGGAAATCATTATGTAAGAAGCTTTTCTTCTTAATCGTCGTTGACTCATCCTTCACTCGCGTATTGATCCACTTTCGATTTTCAGATGGCATTGGTCCACTTCAAGATTTTAACGATATAAGTGATTTTGTTTCCTCTTCAAACATAGCATCGGCACCCCAAACACAATAAAAAAACATTCAGTAGCTTTCTTTCTACTTTAATTTGCAACGTTTTATGGAAATGATAATTTATTTATTTATTACTTTTGAGATTTTATAAAGAAAATAATGAAGGTGTTTTAATGTTTCTATCATTTCTTTAATAAAACTGGAATGAAACAAAAATATTTTATAACTTTAACAAAATATATCAACTGAAAAAACAAAATCTCAAACTTCGTCACTCAGCAATGGTATTAATATAGTTACATATCATTTAACATGCTTTCAAGATACGATGTAATGTTTCACTTTTGTTATTTTTACTTTCGATCACCTATTTAAGTGAAATTAAAATGTATAAATCCTATACCGTGTTATGTTTTGTTGTTACCTTTCAAGCTTCATTTATCTATTATTTCAAGATAATTTCAATTTAAAAATGATTTTAAGGAATTTATGATAAAAACTACATTAAAATATTTTTTTAATATTGACATGTCTTTTTTATGTAGACTAAATTTATACATTTGATACAACTGAAGAATTAAATGATTGCTATATTTTTTTGCAATTCAATGATTGTTATTTTTATAATAACCTTAGTACTACTTTTTAATTGTTGAAATAAACTATTTAATCAAGATAGTAATTAATTTTTTTATGGATGTCTATATTATTATTATTATTATTATTATTATTATTATTATTATTATTATTATTATTATTATGTGTTAACATTTAAAATAAATTTAACTTTAATATATCATTATTAGAAGCATTTTTACGTAATCAACTAATTAGAAAACACGATAGGAAAATATTTTTAAATGTTATTTAAAGAAAAATAATAAATTCAATTAATACAACAATACACAGTTAAATGACAACTTTAAAAACCTTTACATTTTTTTACAATTAAATTCATTTAAAATTAAAAAATCATATTCAATTTAGGATTGGCTAGAATTAAATAACCTTAAATTTCAATTCATCTAAAAAGGAACCTTGATTTTATTTATTATAGTGTATGAAAATTTAAATAAACTAAAACAAAACTTAAATGCTCAAAGAAAGAAGAAACTATGTGGTTTAATTAAAAAAATTAAAAATCTCTCATTCAAAAACGATAATTAAAATTTACAATATATGCAAGGAAATTTAATCATTTATCAAAGATATTTGAAATGTTTAAATCCAATTCATGCTATTCTCGTCAGCGTATTACCAACTAAATAAGCTAATTCCTCAAATTACACGCTGTATTGGAATTAAAACGGAAAAAATAATTAAAAGTAATAATAGGAATAGAAATTTACGAATATTTTAAAACAAGAAACTGAATAAAAAAATAAAGATTTTATTATTAAAAGAGAAAATAAAAATATTTTCTAAAAATAAATAATGTTTTAGTTTCTTTAAATTTAATTAAAATGCACTAATAGTATAAATATTTTTTTAAGTTAATATTTAATCATGATTATTATATTAATAAGAATAATTATTTTTTATAATAATACATTTTAAGATGATAATTATAATACATTCTAACTAATTGACAATTAATTTTTTATTATTTAAGTCAAATTTTTTTTATATTCGTCATTATGGATAGCAAATTTTAATATCTGATTAATATAATAAATAATATTTTTGAAAAAAATTCAAACTTATTATACTGAATACCCAAACAAGATAATTTTTCAATAAAGTATTTTAAATATTTTTAAAAATTACATTTACTTTTAAAAATCATTTGAAAGAATGTCTAT